CACCGATTATGAAATGAATGCAGAATTTGAAATCGACTAGGAAATCATCCTACGACTGACATCTAGCTCATTAATTATGTGTAAAGCACGCTCATTCCTCTCTGACTGCTCTTCTCATAACTTTTGACTTCTGAGCGTTAACTAACATAATATTTCGCTCTAAGAAAGCAGTATTATGCGAAAGAAAAGCAATAATTTCCGTTTACAAAAGAAATATCTTAATCTCATTTTATGCATTTTAATTTAAACACCAATATTTGAATTCCTTCTTTAATTGATTACTGAAAACTTTCGAATTGTTCGATAGAACGCTCGTTTTCAAATAATCGTCCTCAGGTTGGAAATTTTATGAAATTTTAAGTAATATTTGATCATTATATAAACGCAAAAGGGGATTAAACACACGGAACATAAGTCAAAACACGTGATATAGAACGAAAAATAAATCTTCGCCTTTATTGAACGAAAATGGCATTGCAGCAACCCTATCGATAACAATGTCTGTAATCAATGCTTAAATTAAGGTGCACGTTGGTATGATTTTTTTTAATTATTTTAAATTTTCCAGAAAAGAATTAAAAATTATTTTCTTGTACCATCATTATAATTTCACTCTCCTTTAAAATGTCCATAAATGCCAAAAGTACGACTTGAAATTTCTAGAATGATGCTAGCATATTAAAAAGTCTGCTGTCATTTTATGCATTTATATTTAAAACAAAATTAGATAAATTTTATGCAGCGCAAGTATTTGAATTATGAGCCCTTTTTCTGGAGGGGGGGGGAGAAGAAAAGACAACGAATATTCTTTGCAACTAATTGTTTCGTATTACTGTCATTTTCTGACTGAGTAATCTTATGTAAACAATTCCCTTCCTTTTTAAAAGTTCGGTAAGCTTTTTACAAACAATATAATAGCACGGGAAGTTAAGTGGTTTAATTCGCAAGAGATATCACCAGATATTTTCAGTGCTTTAGTCTCATTATTTATTCAAAATGAGTAGAAAAGGCGCGAAAAACTGGAAAAACACTCAGCGTTCGATAAGGGATGATTATATTTTCTTCCTTTAATTTTAGATTTCCCTTATTTCTCAAAATATCGAGAGCTAATACATGTAGCAAAACATCGTTCTTGCATCAGAGAAACATGTTTAAGATTGTCACACAGAATGATCTTGTCAACCTAGAAGCCATTTCACCCTGGGACGTGAGATTGTTACTGATAAATGTGAGTATTGATAACATTCCAGACATGTCATATCTTTTCGTGGAATTTGTTTCGTTTTTAGGTCTTAATTCTAGAAAATAAGCACAAAAAATGTGTGTGGCGGTACAAATGATTTGATTTACCTGCAAGCAAAAATTATGAGTATCAATTATCTGATTTCTGTTTTCGGTTCATCAGGATAAGAACCTCGTTGTGACTTCTCTTCTGCAGCAGTAAAGATAACAAAATATCATCTTTTATAGTATTATCAATGCAAAATCCTTAGCTGTGATAGTAAATAAAAACTAAACGTGGTTTTTATCTCAAGTAGAAGCCATAATGATTTTTTCTACATTCCTAGAGATAGCTGAATCCAAACTTTACGAAAATCTTTAAAACGTAATGATTTTAACTGTTAAATATCCCTATTAATATATTTTAACTATAACATTATCTATTTTTATGTATGTGTACAATGCAAAATGTTTTTTTAACTTTTGTCAAGTTGTAAACTTGCTTTTATATGTTGCTAATTAGATTTCCCTTTGCTCGTACATATTATAAGGTTTATTAAAATAGCGCTTCGCAACAAAATTATGCACAAGATTTCTCTTCTAAAAGTAAAGAATCTCACGAAGAATATCGTCACAGCAGATCAAAAATTGTGTAGAGCCGTAGGTGATCATCTTAAAGAGGTTTTATTTTAACGATAAAGGTGTAAACTGCCACATTTATGAATGAAAAAAAAAATGCAAGAAACTTAAGAACTTGAAAGGCATTATTTGCAAAACATTCATCCACATTTAATCAAATACTAAAGTATTAATTTTCTAAAATATTTTAAAATTATTATACTTATATTTTAGATTTAATAGTTGAAATTTACAGCGACGTCAAAGAGATATTATTAAATGTTAATCGAATTTTTCATTGAGGAAAAGCTTTTATTTCGTTAACAGCATTATTTCGGATATCCTTTTATATCATATTTCAAAAGCATTAGTATGTTCATACAACATTTTTTTAAATTCTAGGTTTAGCAAGAATAATATTGATACATTCTACGGGTTCGTGGGCTTGGAGTAATTGATGATAACACTTGATGAAAATCCAACACACAATTTATTCGCCAGCATAACACAGGATAGTTCTTAAAGACACGTTTACAGCTGTCGAAAAACTACGATAAATACAATGAAACAACCAGAAACACAAACTTCAGGCTATAACGGTAAAGATAGCTTCATGGCATAGTACTAAAGTACAGCTCCCGACTCGGTCGATCGTTCTCAAAGTAATCTCTGAACTCAAGACGCTACTTAATCCCCTTGCAGGCAGGGTACATATAGCTCTGACCTACCTTCGAGAATATTTCCGAGAAAACAGCTAAAAATGCGTTTTAGAACGTTCTCACTCCGTCTATGCATATCGCCAATATTTTCGCAAAATATCACCAAATGGGCGATTTCACGCAAAATTTGGCAAAATCAAGTGTATTTTCCTGCCAATTTCTGGCAACCCGAACTCACTTTGCGGGGAAGCTTTCTCACCGCAGCTGGGCATCTCGCAACAATATCATTCATACAACGAAATAACATGAAATTTCATTTTATTGAAATATAAAGTAACAGAGAAAAAACAGAAATCTGTTAAGCGAAGATAGAAAAATGGAAACAGATGGAATTCGACTGTGAAGAACCATTAAGCAACTAAAAATAATTAGTTAATGATTAACGCAATTTCATCTGGCTTCGCGTATAAAATTTATACTTTTAGCGAGGGACAATAATGCATGAAATGGAAGTAAAACTCTTTTACGTTTTACTTCCGAACGTTCTATGTGATTTCACATTCAATCAGACTCATATTATACTTGTCACAAATATTTTTTGCTATAGTATTTACAGCAACGACAATGCACACATTGAGATCACGCTGCTTATGAATAAAAGTCTCATGAACATAACACAACGTATCAAAAAAAAAAAATGTCTTATGTTTGTTGATCCATTGGACGTAAGAGTCCAGTTGTAAAATCTCACAAGATCCATTGTGATTTACCCAATGTGCATGCAAGCCGAAGGATCACCGTGTTAAGAGAACATTTATTACATACTATTTTGTAAAATTTTAAGAACATTATGTAAAATTCCGGGATTTCTTTCGAAATACATAAAATTAATACACTGATAACAAAGAGAAATTATACGTATTTATCTAAAATAGGCTCAATCATTTTGATTAACCCTGTATTACCATCAGAAATGGCTTGTCTTTAATTAACGCTTTCTATAATTTTAGCAGTTACGTCATATTTATTATCGAAGAAACCTGTCAAACGTGACTGTAAATTAGAGTCAGGATAAATATTCAGTCAAAGGCGGGGAGGGGGTATTGTGACAGTATAAGGCACGTGGTCTTCATCTTCTTTGCTCCCTAAGAGAAAGCCATTCCACATGAAATGATGTATTTGATTTACCTTTCAAAGTATAATTTGTAATATATTTCCTTCCTTTCTTACCGCCTGCATTCGTGGAGTAACTGGAACCCCATCGGGCTAGCAATCAGGAATCAGAAGTTCGAATCTCGAAGAGGGTACTGCACATTTTTCACGTTTCCTGTTGCGAAAAATTCCAGATGACTCTACAGCGAGCTCGAACTCACCACGAATATTTGATGATTAGATCTTTGCCTCCCCAGACATCTTTAAGTGGGGGAGAATGCAAAGTATTTTCTCTTTCTTATGCTTTATTGTGTAATTAATTGTAAGCCCGCCCAGCTGGCAATCGGGAGGTCCGGACTTTAAACACCGGCAGAGGTATAACACATTTTTCATACTCCTGCTTCGTCAAACTCAGTGACTACAAAACTAGTTTAACAAGTTAACATTTTAACAAGTTAGACGATTTCAAGGATTAAAGCACTTCTTACTAATTTAGTGTTCAATTTTACTTTTGTGATGCTACATGCATGAGCTAAAAATACATTTAAATTATCATATATCTATTTGATAACTGTGAACATTTTCAGCATCGTTGTAACTAATACAAGTTATGTCATTTCAAAACGATTTTTATTATCCCTAATTATCCATCATGTAATGACATTACATTTTAGTTTACATAATTAAATTTTAGATTTTTCTGATGAAACATAACCTATAACTAAATCGAAAATAAGCATGTTTAGTTGAAATGTGCAATAATTTTCTTAAAAGCATAATATTGAGAAAGAAGTACAGTAGAGGCACGGCCTACCTTACATAACCAAAAATTTGATTATTAGGCGAAGTTTTTAGTTGGCCAAAATCCTTCAGTTAATGCCATTATAAACCTAATCTGCATATGATGGTTTAGATATTATTAAAAAAAAAAAAAAAAAAAAAAAAAAAAAAAAAAAGCCGATTTTCTATCGTAACCCAAAAGGCTTAATGATACAACCCAAATAACAATAATAATATTGTGGTTGCTGTTGGCTGATGAATAAGATGATAATAAAATAATAATAATAAAAAAGGGGGGACTCAGACAACATTATGATGTCGAAATTTTTTCCTGTTCTGTAAACTTGCTATAAAGTAAAACATATTTCGCATCATCTAAACCGAAAAAAATATTATTTTTTAAATGCCCTGAAAGTCTAGTACTCGTTTCCTTAATAACATTTAGAAAGCCACAGACCTATAAGGAACGATACCGATCATAATATATCACAGGTGAGAAGGTCATGAGGGACTACACAAAGGGAAAAGGGTGCATATTATTTTCCGGAAACCATTATCTGAGACAATTACCTGTGTTTCGGTGAGGTTGAGACTTTGGGCAAGTTGCTTCCTTTCGGTACCCACGACGTAATGGTTCTTCTCGAAAGCGTGTTCCAGCGTCAGCAGTTGGGAAGGAGAGAAGGCTGTGCGAATCCTTTTGGGTTTACGGAACTGGTGCAGAATGAAGCTGGCATTCTGTGGACCTGAAAATTCAAAGAAGAAAAGAAATTTTAATATCACAGAAATTTGTCGACAATTTTAAGTTGCTTCGCTGTTGAAGATTTTCCCGCTTCTAGTACTTTACAGCTCTAATGTTTTACTTTAGCCAGATTTTTTTTTTTTTTTTGAATAAAAATTGCAAACGTTATGAAAATATTCGCATGCTTTTCTATTTTTTGCTTTGCAACAGTAATTTTTTTTTAAATAGGCAGCTCTTCGTTTCATTGTCCGAGACGCTTTCAAATGCCCAAAAATATGCCATGGTCTACAGAAAACAAATCTCGACAAGCGATACTGAACTAAATACAACTTCATTGAATTAAATACAGATATAAAAAAGAGTATGAATCAGCCAGAAGACAATATTTGATACATATACAGTGAGTCATTAAATTTAATGGCATTCATATAAACACTATAATCCAGCATATTACCTTACATATTTATAACCGAGCATAACTGAGATAAACGAAAGTTTTTTGTAGAATTCTTTGTTAAATGTTCACGTTTAGGTATAGCAAAAGTAAATTCCTATTAAGGAAATGCAAAAGAAAAAACTTTATTTTATGGTCCTCTTACTGTGCATGGATTAATTAGATTTGTTCTTGCAGGTCAATCAATTAGGGAATGTAGTTAATAGTAATTTGGACTTATAATAAAATTAATGTAAACAATAATAGCGTTTTGATAACTATTTCAGACTTAAAGAAAACCATCGAGCATGTAAAAGTTCGTGCAATAAATACATACAGAACTTCAATTCCATACAGCACTTCAATGAAACACAACACATGAATGAAATTTTGTCTATGGATGTCCAAGGGAATATAGTTTTAAAAGCTGTTGCCATTGAAAATCTGTATAAATTTTTAGTTTATTGCAGAGTCAGTGTAATATTTGTAAATTTGAAGGACTAGTTTCGAGGGTTTAAATATAGAACTTCCTTCAGCTGCAAGGTGCAAAACTTCTGCAGCACTGCAAACTATTTGCACTTCTGCAACTGAAGAAGAAGTTTCTATATTTAAACTTAATAATTCTACAAACGAAATAATTCTACAAATTTACGAATATTACACTGATTCTTGCTACCTTATATCTTCTAATAATTGTCATTCGACGTGTTATTTTAACTCAGATTTTCTTCAGCTTATGTTTCACATAAAAAAATTTAAATCGCACTTGGATAACCTTGGTAGCGAACAAAACAAGTTTTTGTTTCTACTCATAGATATATTCCAGTTATTATTTAAATATCTTTAATATAAGGCACAAATTTCACATGTTTAAAGCATGTCAAATAATTCATTTAATTTATATCTTACAAATTTTTATACATATTTTACAAATTTTTATATATTATTATGTAATATAAAAATTTTCCCCCTCATTTGTTTTCACTAACTCAGGCACAGAAAATGTTTATCTCATCGTTATTTTTTTACAAAGATTATTTAATAAAAGTTTTAATTCTGTGTAACTAAAATGTAAAAATATATACAACATTTTAATTCTGCGCACTGATTTTTTTATTCTGTGCTACTAAAAGTTTTTACGACCTTGTAACTAATTAAAATTTATCTAAAAGTTAAGCTTAATTTAACTCCTGATTCACATTACGTAAATTCACTCAGCGCAGAAGATTAGTCAAACTAAGCGCACCAGAAAGAAAATTAAAAAGCTAATTGAGTTAATTGCAACTCATACCCGTTTGGATAAAAAGGCCGCTGTACTAACCGCGCCAGTTTATTCGAGAGGCTAGAAAAGACTTAAACTACTTACACATATACAAAATTCGTAACAATATTATAAACATAAATTATTTATAGTCCTAGTACAGGGATAGCCAGTGGGCGATTTAAGCTTTAATGGTAGTTGGTAGAGGATTTTGTCTATCCGATGTTGAAAGTCCGTTCTCTCGTGCTCAGCTCTTTCCAGTTTCCATATTTTTATAAGGCTCTGCCACTTCTCTTAGGTGTTGTTCTGTGACTATAGAGGGTATAATGGGATTATTACATCTTACCAAAGCAAGGGATTATTACATCTTACCACAGAAGGTTTCCCAGTTTCACTTGAACCGAGTCTCGGCTAGCTGTGCGGACACAAATTTTATGTCTCTTATAATCAATGGATAAATTTAAAAATATATATATTTTTACTAAGCCTTCACTCAAAAAATTACTTTGCATTTAAGCTAAACTAAGTGACTGCGAAACCGGTGGGCGGGAAGGAAATTTTACTATCTACAAAGTAGGCGGTAAGTATAAAAAGGTTGACTACCCTTGCTCTAATGGAAAAAATACAGTGTAAAATAAAACTTTTCCTTCTTAGGTCTTTCAAATTCATTAACTTTCATGTTCACTACTTACCAATTCAAGTGATTTTACTATTTGAAATAACATCCTGTATATTATATAGTAATCCTGCTATGCCAATTATCATATATTTCGCAGTTGGTATTATCATTAAAAATCAAAACTTCACAGTTAATTTGCCTCGCTTTTAAATGATTTACTATCAGAGTAACTGCTGCTGGTTTTTATGACCAATTCAAGATTGAGAAATATGATTCTGAGCGAGATTAATGGGTTGCTAACGCTACGCATATTTCATGATTTCAATGTCAGATTAAAAAGTAAAAATCATAGCTTGGTGAGGATCATAATTAAAGATAAACTGGAAGGCTATAAATAATACAGAAGAGAATTTTATTACAGCTTAAGCTAAATTGAGATGTCCTTGGCCTCTGATTCAAAAACAGCAGATGTGGCAAATTTACTAAGAAACTATGACTTTTGGAATCTTAACTTTTCACAAGATTTTGCAATCCTAAGTTTGTAACAATTTTTATTTGGAATTTGATTATATAGCCATAAAAGAGCCATAAAAAGAATAGAATTGCAAAAACTCGTTGTTATAATAGTTGCAAGCTCTTTGTGGCATCTCAAGATGACGATTCTGTACTGTACTGCGGTTTATAATATAAAGTGTATGAAACATATTTTCTAAGCACAATAAAGCTGCAAATATTTGTAAAAATATCAGTAAAGTGCGTTAGACTTTGGCCTAGTTGAGTGCGTTATGGATTACATCAGATAATATATAAAGTATTAAGCTTTATAGTCACATATTGCTTTATATTAAGTATTGCGTAGTTTAATGCATAAATTAAAGAACTTAAATTTAATACATAAAACAATTTCTTTAATACGTAAATGAAAGAACTTAGGATGAATGAATTTACAACGCCTCTTATAGAAAAAGACCTTTGCAAGGCGGCGTAAATGAGAAATATCTTGAAGCGTTACACATCATGAAAAATAGAAAGACTGAGCTAAAGATATTTCTGTCACTGAATAGGTCAAATATGGAGCTTTTCATGAAAAATCAAAAGAAGTTTTCCACAAAAAGGCCTTTTATTGCAATGTTTAAACGTTACAAACCAAAATTATGATACCAACAACACACATAATTACGTAACACTTCAAGGTGATGGCAAGAAAACGATAATTATGTTACCAACTACAAAAACAAAATGTTGCTATTCGCAAATAAGCAATTTGCGGGTTATAGGGCAATATATCTGATACGCAGTGTTGTAAATGTACAGCATTACAAGTAGATACTCAAAAGCTATTTTCATAGTCTGCCAAACTTTAACGAAAGCAAACATTTATTATACAAATGCCCGTTTATAATAAATCTGGTTTTGAATAATTTTAAATCTTTAAAATAAAATAGTCCTTAATTTAAAGAACTTAAATACCGACTAATTTTAGAAAAAAAATACACACAAATAAATAAATAAAAAATAATAAAAAAAAACTTTGAAACAGAAAAGAATGTAAATGCATTTAAAAAAATTAATGAGAAACGCTAATTCACCATAAAAAAGGTATGCAACTATGTATGAATTAAAATCATTTAGATTATGGGCAAAACACACAAAGGCTATCTGCGTAACTAAGAGGAACGCCTTCGTGGAGAACATTCTCCTATCTACGTTACAAATGAAAAAAAAAAAAAAAAAAAATTCCCATGCATGAAGCCCGTTTTTCGGGATTTGATTCTGTATCGGATTGGATATATGGATTTGAAATCTGTTCCACTAACCAGTGATTTTTAACTTTTGGCCGCTGTTGTCCTCTCATATAATGATATAGGTTTCTATTGTTCGCATTGTGATTCCCAAAACCACCATATAAATGAATTCCTTCTATAAAATGCGAAATAAATACTCATGTTCATACTATTTACTAATAAGGTAAGAAAGATTTAATAATCTATGACCATTTAAGAAGCAATCCAAAGTTTCAAAGCTTATTAATCAGAAACAGCGCTTGTGCATATTTTGATAATATTTCTTCAGTTAATGATGCTATAGGTAGAAGATAATCATTGCACATAGTTGTTTTAGCAGTTTCCTAAGTGATTTTTTTTTGTTTCATAAAACGCAAAGCAGAATTTATTTGCAAATGAAATTAGGAATATAAAGTCAAATAATACTTTTATACTGTTATTATGTCAGTACACAAAGGACACACTAAGCAATTTTCTACATATTTTTATTTTTTTGAGGAAAAAAAAAACGGGTGTACCAAGACATCCGTTTCGCAATGGTTTGTAGAGTCACCTAAAAAATGAACAATGTCATCCTCAGGATTCGGAGTCCGAACGTTCGCATTGCTAACCAGATGTGCTTCCAATTATACGACGAACGTAAGAGTTAAGGAGGTAGATAATACTTTACGGATTAATGTTTAAATTTTTAGGATGCTATTTTGATAAAAGTTGTATCATAATTTTAAATAGAATATAATAAAGCTAGTATTTTAAAATTAATCTTTCGTACTCGCTCTCATAAAAGACACTGCATCCTTATATAGCGCCCATGCTGAAATAACATATGCATTAATTTTGTCAATCCTTTTAAGTATAAAATTCATTAAATTCCACTATAATATTAAAGAAATTTTAAAAAATTCAA